CCATGGTGGTCATCGTTTTAAAATGCCCTTCTTCCTTCTAGCGACTGTACACTGTAGTAAAAAATAAACATCTGTGGGGTAGTAAGGTATACCTGCCTTAGCGCCGATGCGAGTCCTGTTGTCTTCATCCAGGTCAGCTTTGGGACCTTCCGAGGAGGCCTGGATAGAAATGTTTTATCGTTTTTCTTGCAAACAATCCTCCTTCTTCGCTAATCGTAGCACTCTGACGTCAATTTATCAATTTCGAGCGCTCACGTTAGAGGGCCTGTTAGAGATTTCGGTAATTGAGTTACACAGAAATGTGGTGTTTGATAGTGCATGCCCTGGAAAGACTTCTGATCCGCCGTTTGCAGTTTTAGTGCTGCCTCCCTTGTAGGCAGAAGTACCAATGAGGAATTTTTAAGAATAACAGCATCAACGATGAATGCGTCATCTGGTTGGGTCGTATGTGTTTCTTTTTTAACAACTTCCGCGCCCTATCGGAATGCATTCCATTCGCTTTTTGCCTTGATTTAGCTGACGGAAATCACTCCCCTCGAAAGTGCTTTGCTCATGTTCTGTTTGGTCTTTTTGTTCTAGTCCCATCCTAACGTGCACATGACTTTCGTTTCGTAAAAATCTTGTCTTTCATTATATGCGAGGGACCCTTAACTATTTCACCTTGAGTTATGTTCAGCTCGCTAAATTTCTCCAGAAGCTCCCCCCTCCTAATGTGAGCCTTACTTGTACTCGGTACCGTTTTATCAGGCCTCATTTATCCGATTTCAGTGCTATAGCAAACTGTACTTCACGTGTGACAACTCGGCCCGTTATTCTCTATTCACGATGCAAGAAGTACTTCGATGTCATCGAGAACCACGTCGAAACAGATCTTGTTTCGATTGCTCTTTCATTTAGTCCTTATTGATTTCATTACTAACACCAGCGCTCAGTGTTGTCTTCGGACTTCTTCCTGGAGCATTGGTAGATGGTCAATGGCGGATAATCCAATTATTTTGCTGGAAACCTTGTATTGCCACCTCGGGCTTATTTGACGTCGTCTGTGCCCTAAACGCGGGCTGGTTGGCCCGGGGGTCTGAACCCGAGTCAGTTGGTTACCGACTTTGAGCCACTGGTTCGCGCTCCGCTGCCCGGAATGGGTTCTTCAAAACCCTGAAAATTTTTGAACCAGAGTGAGACATGGGAATAGGAATTTCTCCGTACTGCAAGTGGTCTTGCGCTAGATTCCTGACCCAGTCGCAATCATAATCCTGCCGTAGTCTCCCGTTCGCGTGGTATACCCGTTGTAGAACGTTTCTATTCCCTTCTATCTTGAGATCAGATCAATTAACGCCGCTATCATGTGCGATTGCATATGCTCACTAGACAGGAAGCAAACCGGCATGCCGGTCTATGATAGTTGTTATTTTACGCCCGAGCCTTCAGTATCCCTACCGGTGATAGTTTTAGCAATTGCCTGAGGCCACTGACACTGCGATAGAAGTTATCCGGAGCAGTGTGGTGGTGGTGGTGTTGTATATTAACCTTCAAGCCGTCGTCGTCGTCCTCGTTGATAAGCTGATCAGACTTTAAAAACATACGGACCTGCCTATCATGGGTTTGGGCTCTCGGTGCCAGATCGCGCGACCCAGTTTTCAGCCAAGGACACGCGTGTCAGTTGCACTCATATAGATGTTGCATAATAACCCATTTGTTTTCGCTCTCTCATGGCCCCCGATTATGGGCTGTTGTAGCTACCTGGAAGTCTAGATATTGGCCCCTCCTCCCTTCCTAGGAGTATTTTCGTTGTCGTTCACCTGCCTCCCACCGTGGTTTCATGATTTTCAGTGCTGTGTCTACTAGGCTGCACATTTTTCCCTGTAGTCCTAACGTCAGATGCTGAACTGCACATGTTTTGGTGATCTTTTGACG